CCCCAAAACCCCAAAACCCCAAAACCCCAAAACCCCAAAACCCCATATTTCAACCAAAAAGTTGAAATCTTTATAAATATTTACTAAAACTATCATATAATATGGGACTTGAAGCAGTCATGCTCTGAATTGATAATTCAGAGTGGACCAGGAACGGAGATTATAAACCATCAAGATTTGAGGGACAACAGGATGCTGCTAACCTTATCTGTGATGCCAAAACCCAACAGAACCCTGAAAGTACACTTGGAATGATGACTATGGCCGGTAAGAGACCTGAAATTTTCCTGACTCAGACCAATGACGTTGGAAGACTTCTCTCCACTATCTCAAAGATGCCGATTCATGGGTATATTGATCTCCCAAGAGCAGTTAAAATTGCCCAGTTGTCTCTCAAGCATAGACAAAATAAGAACCAAAAGCAGAGAATCATTGCATTTGTAGGCTCTCCAATTGAGGGCTTTGAAGATAATGATTTCAAAAAGCTGGGGAAACAATTAAGAAAGAACGATGTTGCTATTGATGTCGTTAATTTTGGCCATCCAGAGAATATTCCTTTGCTCACAACTTTAGTGGAAAATACTAATAAGAATGAAAATTCTCATATTATTGAGATCAATTATGGAGCAAATATTGCTGATACAATTATCACATCTCCCCTCGTAGCTTACGATATGGGTGGCGATGTCGCTCCAAGTGCTGAAGGCGGCGAAGCCCCCGGAGCTACTGGTGCAAGTGCTGGAGGCCAGTTCGCAGAGTACGGAGGAATTGATCCTAATATTGATCCTGAACTAGCGATGGCCATCAGGATTTCATTAGAAGAAGAAAAGAATAAGAATAATCAAGATGCTGACGCTAATAAGGATTCAGATGCCAAGCCTGCTGAAGGTGCAGCAGATAAGGAAGGAGATGCTCAAATGGAAGCTAAAGAGGAAGCTCCAGCTGAAGCTGCTAATGAAGAGGAAGATATGGGAGAAGACGAGGATTATGAAGCAGCTCTTGAGGAAGCAAAGCGTCTTTCAATGGAAGGACCAGGGCAGACAACAGAGCAGACAGCTGGACAGACAGCCGGGCAACCAGCTCAAGAAGCTGAAAATAAACCTGAAGAAGACCTTGAAGGAGTCATTAATGAGGAATTCTTAGGTGAATTAATGCAAGATTTAGGAGTTCCCATGACTGATGATGCTATCAAAGGATGTCTTGAAGATGAAAACAAAAAGGATCCTAAAGATAAAGGCAAAGATGAAGACAAGAAAGAAGATAAATAAGTTGGAATAAATGTCTCCATGAATTCAATTTTCTTGCTATTAATTGGGGTTTTGGGGTTTTGGGGTTTTGGGGTTTTGGGG